GGGGGGACAGGAGAGAGGGGGCGGGGGGAGGGGGAAAGGAGAGAGGGGGAAGGGGTGGACAGGAGAGAGGAGGGGATGGGGGGGAAAGGAGAGAGGGGGGGGAGAGGGGGGGGGGGACAGGAGAGGCGGGGAGGGGGGGGGAGGGGGAAAGGAGAGGAGGGGGGACAGGAGAGAGGGGGGGGACAGGAGAGAGGGGGGAGGGGGGGGACAGGAGAGAGGGGGGGGGGGAGGGGGGAGGGGGTGGACAGGAGAGAGGGGGGTGGACAGGAGAGAGAGGGAGGGGGGGGGGGGGAGGAAAGGAGAGATTGGGGGGGGGGGACAGCAGAAGAGAGGGGGAGGGGGACAGGACAGGAGAGAGGAGGGGAGGTGGGGAGGGGGGGCTGGGATCATCACCATCTCCATCACCATCACCATCACCATCATCATCGTCACACCACAATCATCATCATCATCATCATCATCATCATCATCATCATCATCATCATCATCATCATCATCATCATCATCATCATCATCATCATCATCATCATCCGGAGCGTCCCGAATCGGCGGCACTGGCCGGCCACTACAAGAATTTATCAGAGTTTCACGGGTTGAGGGCGGGTCGTTTTCAAGATGTGGCTCTCGCTTTAGCGCCGCGCACACTCGTTTTTTTATACATTCTTTTTGAAAGTTTACAGGAGTTCAACGGATTCCCACGATCAGCGTACCAGAAACGGTGTTTTGAAAGGACTCAGGATTGTGAGGGCGCAACAGTTCTGTTGATTCGCTGTGTTGAAATCCCAAAAATGGCTTTCTGGCACGATTCTGGATCGTCAAGACGCAGCAGTCAAGTTGATACGTGTTGTTGAAATCCCGGAAACAATGTTTTGGCACGCTTCAGGATCTTCAAACTGTTGTCTTCCAGCGAGGCAGGTCCACCAATGGAAATGAACCGTTGTAGGGGCCTATGACGAGGGAGCTTGGAGGGAGGGTAAATTCCAACATCGTTGTTGACTCTTGGGTTTCCACTGGTCTTCCTCCTCCTTCTCCTTCTCCGCGTCCTACTCCTCCTCCTCCTCCTCCTTTTCCTCCTCCTCCTCCTCCTCCTCCTCTTCGTCCCCCTCTTCACAAGTGTCCTCCCCTTCCATCCTTTCTACGGACCCCCGACTAACGATTCCCTACTAAGAACTATGTGATAATGGTCCCTTACAAAAAGCTGTCGCACAAAGGGAACATCGCGTTGGATTACATAGCTGAGGTTCCTTATTAAGTATTCCCGACTACTGAATTCTTACTAGTGGTGCCTTAGTAATGAGCCATTGCTAAGGATTCCCATGCAAGGGGTCCTGCATAAGAGCCACCGGCCAAGGACTCCAGACTGAAGACTCCTTGCTGGGGGTCCCTTACAGGGGATTCGTTACCAAGAATTCCTTGCGACGGATTATAGGCTGTGAAATCCTAACTCAGGGTCTTTTGTCAAGTAAAACTTAAAAACCGATTCCCTACGAAGGGCTCTTTACTAAGGACCCTCTAGCTAAGAAGCCTCACAACAAAAAACCCTACGAGAAACAAGCCCTTAATAATAGTACCAGATCAGGGGCCCCCACTGTAGAACCCTGATGAAAGAGCCCCGATAAACTATCATATAAAACAGATTCCCTACTAAGGGCTCCTTACCAAAGACGTATTCCTTAGGACTCCTTCCTTAGAGCCCCTTACGACGGAATCCTTTCGAAGGATGCCTTACAAATGTCCTTTGGCTCAGGACTCCCAATCTGTAGCCATGGAAAACGCACTCCCTGCAACGGGTTTTATTTGTTTTGAGAAAACCTTAGGATTATCCATGAGGATTCCTGAGTAAAGGCCTCTCACGAAAGACTCTCTGCTAAGCAAATAAAGCGCCTTGCGATGCGTCCCCCGCCAAGGATTCCTCACTATGCAATCCTGGGTCAATCTTCCCTAGAGCGTGTTCTTCAACACTGATTGCCGACCAAAAGCGCCGTACGAAAAACTCCAGGTGGAGAACTCCCTACAAAGGACCCCTTGCACGAAGGATTCCTTACAAATGACCCCCGACCAAGGACTACATACAATGAGAAACCCTGGTTCAGGAATCCCTTAAAAGTATGTTCCCAAACGGGTTCCCGACGAAGGGTTTCTTGCTAAGGGCTCCCTACCTTGGACTCCTTCATGCGGATTCCCTGCAAAAAAACCTTGCCGAGGGTTCCTTGCAAAATACGTTCGGCTCAGGATTCCTCCCAACGGAAGCAAGATGGTGAGCCCCCGTACAAAGGGCTCTTTACTAAGACATCCCCGCTCAGGAAGCCTTCGCACGGGCCCTGCATTTAGGATTCCGTTCTAAAACTTCACCACAAAGAGTGCCTTACTAAGAGTTCATTGGCAAAGACCCCCGACGATTGACTCCTCTCTGAAAACTCTTCACTCCGAGACCCTCACTTATGCCCCTTTGCAAAGGATTCGTTACGGAGGCTTCACAACAGAGGCTCCACACCAAGAGCTCCTTACTAAAGGTCCCTGGCTAAGGATTCAATGCTAAGAAATGTTCCCTACGCAAGGTTTCAGTCAACCTTCCCTTGCTAAAGGCCGTTACTTTGTTCCCCACGGCCCCCTACCCAGCATTCGTTACTCAGGATTCCGTTCGTGGAGTTCCTGACTTGGAATTCTCGATTACGGGCTCCCAACTCGCGACTAAGGACTCCCCGATACGGATTCCCCAACAAGGTAGCCTTACTAAAAAATCCGAAATAAGGATTCCCTACTCAAGATTCTGTGTTGAAAACCTTTCACCCGGGCACTATTACTGGAGTCCCCTTTTAGTGTGGTATCCCGGTTGAGGGGATTCATTCCTAAGGACTCCTCATTAAGGACCCCTTACGATGGACCAATTACAAAATGTTCATTGCGAAGGAGCCCTGTTGCTCAGGATTCCTTACCATGAATTCCGGATTCCTTGTTATCATGGATTCCTTACAATGGAAGAATTATCCAGGCGAAGGAACCAACCATATGCAGTTGTGAGTAACGCACTCGTAGGTCTCGTCTTCGGTGGAGCTCCGTATGAGGCACGAAACGTGTGAGGCGTGTGCCAACATGGGCGCGGTGGTGCCATACGAGGGCACCCACTGGGGCCTTCGGTGGAGCTCCCCCTGGGGCCACAAAACGTGTGAGGCGTGTGCCGACATGGATGCTGTGGTGTCATGTGAGCGCAGCCACTGGGGCCTTCGGTGGGGCTCTTTGTGGGGGCCACGAAAGGTGGGAGGCGTGTGCCGACATGGGTGTGGTGGTGTCATGCGAACGCAAACGCTGGGGCCTTCGGTGGAGCTCCCTATGGGGCCACGAAGCGCATGAGGGGAGTGCCGAAATGGGTGCGGTGGTGTCATGCGATCACAGCCTTCAGTGGGGCTCCCTATGTGGCCGAAATGGGTGCGGTGGTGCCATGCGAGCGCAGCAACTGTTGCCTTCGGTGCAGCTCCCTATTGGGCCACGAAACGCTGTACTGGATGGGGGAAACGCAGGGAGGAGGGAGGAGGGGGAGGAAGAGGGGGAGGAAGAGGAGAGGAGAGGAGAACTCGGGGACCGTCTCTTCAAAACGAAGGCCCAACACCACAGGATGGTTGGGGAAAAACGAGTATGTAATAAAAGGCTCTCTTCTAAGGGTTCCGTACTAGTGGCACCTTACGGGGGATTCATTACTAAGACTGTCATGCTAGGGCTTCCATACTAAGGACTCAGATCTAAGGATCTCTTATTACTGATTCCTTGCTAATGAAAGGTTTGTCCCCAACATTCCAAACTGGGGGCTCCGCAACCATAAGGATTCCTTACGGAGGCGATCCCACGAAAGGTTCCTTACACATCCCTGGTGGAAGATTCCAGAATCTGGAACCCTCATTAATGACTCCCTTACTCAGACCCCGACGACGGATTCCGACTATGGACGTTATACTCTGGTCCTTATTACGGACTTCTTACTAGGGACTCCTTGCCAGGGAACTCTTGTTGAGCCCTCAATGAGGGTGCCTCTCTAAAATTCCCTTGTTAGGCCATGGTTACTAAGGATTCCCGACATAGTCGGGGGAAGCATCGGCGCAGTTTGGATGCAGGGAGGAGGGAGAGAGAGCGAGAGAGCGAGAGAGAGAGAGGGGAAGGGGTAGAGAGAGGGGGGGAGAAAGAGAGAGAGAGGGATAGTCGGACACGAATATCACACAAACACCTGTAAAAAACTACCCCTTTACACTCCGAGCTAAAATCACATACATCCCTTGGGATTGGTCGTCCAGATCGTTTGAACAACAACTACAATACGAATTGCATACAACAGTAGACACATGAGACTGAACATGTGTGTATGCGCGTCATTGTACGCGTGTGTGGTTGCTCGAAAACGTATGCGTGCAAGGGCAGACTCGGCGGCTGCAAAGGAGAGCATGCATATTCCAAATCCACGGGATGGCTTCCCGCGGGCGTGGATGGAGGAAGAGGGCGGAGCAGGAGAGGGATGCAAAGACGTATGGCGAAACCAGAACATTCCGATCATCGCACTGGCCGTGATGCCCCAACCTGGAGCTACCCGCACATGTCGCAGACTCAGCAGGCGAGCGGTCAGCAGCAGCAGCAGCAGCAGCAGCAGCACGACGACGATGGACGACGACGACCACCACCACCACCATCACGACGACAAAGACGGCGAAACTGACGAACAAGGGAAGACGACGACGACGACGACGAAGGACGACGACGACGACGACGACGACGACGACGACGACGACGACGACGGACGACGACGACGACGACGACGACGACGGACGAGAGACGATGGACGACGGACGGCGACGACGACACGGCGACGAAGGTCAACGCCGACGACGACGTAATTACGACCGCGGCGACGACGGACTACGAACGACGACGACGGCAACGCGACCAACAACGACAACTCACGACGTTGTGCTGGGTCACGTTCGGGGTGCGCCGCGGGCGCTGGCCGAGGCCGTGGCAAGACGGCCTTCGCCATCGCGGCTGCCAGGATGTCTGCCGGGCCCGAGGGGGGGGACGACGGACGACGGACGGCCGACGACGGGAGACGAACGGACGGACGGACGGACGGATCGACGACGACGACGACGGACGGCGGAGGACGTCGCCAACGATCGCGACGCCGAGGAAGACGACGACGACGACGACGACGACGACGACGACGAGAGGCACGGCCAGGTGATGCAGGACAATGGGAAGAGGGCAGCTGGGCAAGGGCAGTGGCCAGGCTGGGCCAGTCCAGGATGTCTTCCAGGGCAGGGCAGGGGAAGGAGGGGCAGGAAGGAAGGGAGGGGAAGGAGACAAGTTAGGTGCGCTCGCGTCAACATCTCACATCCTACCCCTCCCTCCCATCCCTTACCATGGCGTTGATTTTCTCTATCCGCGGACGCGTGTCGTAGCGGACCTGTGGCTCCGCGCGCGTGTGCGTAGTGGGTGGTGGTGCGCGTGCGTGCGTGCGTGTGTGCGTGGTTGTGGTTGTTGTGGTGGTGGTGGTGGTGTGTATGTGTGTGTGTGTGCGTGTGTGCGCGTGTGCTGTGATGTGACGTGGTGTGGCGTCTTGGTGGTTTGGTGGTGGGCCAGGTGCGTGCGCGCGTGATGGCGGTGGTGGTGGTGGTGGTGGTGGTGGCGGTGGTGGTGTGTGTGTCTGTGTTTGTGTGCGTGTGTGTGCGTGTGTATGTGTGTGTGTGTGTGTGTGTGTGTGTGTGTGTGTGTGTGTGTGTGTGTGTGTGTGTGTGTGTGTGCGTGTGCGTGCGTGCGTGCGTGCGTGCGTGCGTGCGTGCGTGCGTGCGTGCGTGCGTGCGTGCGTGTGTGTCTGTGTGTGCGCGCGTGTGATGTGGTGTGACGCGGTGTAGCGTGGTGGTGGTGGGTGGGGTAGTGCGGTGGTGGTGGCGGTGCGCGGTGGTGATGCGCGTGCGTGCGTGCGTGCGTTGGTGGGTGGAGGTGGCGGTGGGTGTGCGTGCGGCGGGGCGGGGCGTGGTGCGGCGCGGTGGTGGCGGGCGGATGGGCGCGCGAGAAAGAGCCCCGCGCTGGGGCCAGAACGCCATCCTGAACGACGGAGGCAAAACACCGATCCGAAAATGAGGCCCACGCTGCAGCGGGAGCACGATTCGGAACGATTCGGGAGCAGAAATGAAGCCGGCGCCTCAGCGAGAGCAGAATTTTGAAAAAAAACGCAGGCGAAAACCCAACTCCCAGGAATCCTGTGTGTAAAAAACAGCACGCGGGGGGGGGGGGGGGGTCGGCTACTTTCAGGCCGCCTTCGGGGGAAGAGGGAAGTAGTTTTTTTCTTGTCCCGAGGAAGTAAAAGCCGCAAGTTAGACTGGACAGAAAAGGCGCTAAGTAGCGCAACGCATGCTCAACTCCGAAGTCGGTCGCCGGCCAGGCGATAGGTTCTGCCTTGGTGGCGGGCCTGCTTCAGGAGCTCACGATCTTTCTGCTCGGCGCGCTCGCGCTCTTGGAGAGGCACCTTGGGCTAGTCCCAACTCAAGATCGTAACACCGCATTGCTTCTGATACAAGTGTTTCAAAAGATACTGGCGGCTACTGTACGAGTGGTTGCACACAGGGCAAGTAGCTGTATCGCCTATGTACTCGTTGTATGCTTTGCGCTTCTTGTGAGCCGCTATCTGATGAGATGAGAGTTCGCGGTATGTCGGAAAGGACGCACCACAGACATCACATGCATGCGGCCTCAAAGGTGCAGGGCCGCACTTTTCTGGAGGGCCCGCAACGGACTCCACAAAAAACACCCTGGAGATGCGCTCGCCCCATTTGGGGTCGGCCATCTGGTCATGCCAAGCGGCAGGCGCAGCAGTCGGATCTGGGAGAATCCAAAAGAGCCACGCATGATTTTTCACGCAGCCACCTCAGGTCAGACACTATGAGCTTGACCCACGGGAGCTGTTTGCCATCTACTCTGGAAGCGAGAATAGCGAGAAGCGCCGGGGGGACATTACACATCAGACGTTTCACATATCCCAGGCGGGCTCGCATCAGCAAGCAATCGATGGAAATTGGTTGCATTTTTCGTCGCACTTCCAAGTCGGTGTGCTGCGTCCGCTGATACCGGCATTCGCCAAATATCTTACGCAATACTCTCATGCACATGATCTGCAGTGTCCGCAAGTATCCGGTCGTAGGTACGATCACATGGGCTCCATTGCAGAACCGGCTCAAGATGAGGGATTGCAGCAGGTATAGCTTCAGCCAATCACACACGCTGGGGCTCCCAAACACTCGAAAAGCCAAAGGGCTGTAAGTCTTGAGGGCCTGCTTAGTTTTGTGGTGAGCGTCGGCTCCAATACCGCCGTCAATCTGAATAAACCCACCTAGATGTTTATACTGATGTACAAGACAAAGCTTCTGGGCCGGCACGTCATTGACAGCTGGGACGGGTAGAAAACACCCGTCGGCAGTAGTTAACGCAGCCAGATAATCTCTTGCACCACGCCCTCGGAAGCGCACAATCCCTTCGGTCTTCCCTGGCTTCCAATTGATGTGCAATCCGAAATTGGAGAACACTGTCGCGAAGGCGCGCAGCATGGTGTCAATCCCTTTTCGCAGCCGTGCTGGCGAAGGGGCCATGGTAACCATGCACTCGTCATCGATGAAAGCTGCATCAGTCGACGTTTGCATAGGAGGATCTGGAACTGGACGTTGCTTGCCACGAATGCGGCGAGTACATCGGCACAGCGAGGCTGCGGGGACTCCGCAAAGAAAGCATCCGGAGAAGCATGGACACGTACGGCATCACCAGTATCTTCCATCCATTGCCGCACGAGCATGAGTGGTATGTCGTAAGCAGCATTGAACATAGTAGCTCCAACTTTGCACCCCTGGCGCCCGCCAAGGCCGTACTGCACCACATACTGCAAGTCACCGACGGAGAACCAGCATCTATCGTGCAAGCTGGCAAGCAGCAATTGTTGCATCATCTACACCCCACTGCTGTAGGATGGGGCCGTGTTTTTCCAAGTAAGTGTATATGTGGTCTGCGGCGTGTGCAGACACGCCCATGGACAACAAGTACTGGACGCGGTCGGCGCGTTCAGGGCCCAAGCCTCCAGGCCATCCAACGACGAGCTCACGGCATATCTTGTCGAAGGCCTTGGAAAGGTCAATGAACTGGATGAAAATAGACCAACCAAGCAACTCCGCTCTAGCTACCAAAGCTCTGATCACATGATGGGCCATGTCTGCTTCACGTTTGGGAACGGCGCCATACTGATGAAGCGAAATGCCACGCTCATAAGCTGGATCGACTCGTTCTTTCATCTGGCCAACGTAAGACTTCGACAAATGATCTGCCAATAGTAAGCCACGGTATTCGTCGCAATCATCTTTAGGGCCTTTGTTTTTGTGGATGGGCACGCATCGCCCACCCTGCCACTGCCATGGCCATCGGCCCTGTTCACCAATGCGATTCTGAAGGGCATCCTGGAGAATTGCCAAAGGGCCTTCGCCAGCCTTGAGTACTTCAGCCGGGATGCCATCGTTCCCCACGCCCTTGTTAGAGGGGAGTGCGAGATTGGCGGCCAAAGTTGAGCACGGCGTTGTAGCGAAGCCGACGGCGGGTCCATCTACACACCGCTGCGCAGAGGGGTCCTCGCAGATCGTACCATCAGTAACATCTGCGAAGTGCTCCTGCCAGCGCAAGTCGCACTCATGACGAGACGTAGCCATCTCACCGCTCTTCAGCCGCACACTGCTGGAAGCCATCTTCTTGATGCCCTGAAAGCGGCGAACCACGGCAAATGTCATGCGGCCGTCACCGCATCGCGCTGCGCTGTTCGCCTGCTGGGCCAGACGCCACATGTAGTCCTCCCGGTCACCCTTGATGAGGATGCCTGTCACGGCGCGCAGTCGTAGCAGGGCACTCGCGATGAGGGAGCAAGTCCGTTCAAGTCGAAAGAACTCCTCTCGTAATAACTGGTGGTCGCCATCGGCGGCAGCGTCGTAGTCGTAACGGCGTCGGTCCCGAGTTGGCGTAACGGCGTCGGCGGGCTCGCCAAGCGCCGTCGGGCTGGCGTCGGGCCCCGTCGGGCGGTCGTGGGGCTGCATTCGGGCGGCAGCCGGAGCGATGGCCCCGGGGCCCAAAGACGTCAATGACGGTGTCGTCACGGCGTCGGCGGCAGCATCGTCGTCGTAGCGGCGTCGGTCCTGGGCTGTCGTAACGGCGTCGGCGTCGGCGTCGGCGTCGTGACGGAGTCGGCACAGGCCTTTTGTAATGGCGCCGGCAGGTTCGCCTGGCGCCGTCGGGCGGCTGGCGGGAGCCGTCGGGCAATGCCGCCAGGCTTGAAAGACCACGCCGATGAGGAAGCGGTTCCTGTTGCAAGCCGCCGCTGATAGTTGCCTCCGCAGCGGTGCAATATATCGAACCAGGCTCCATGTTTGTTCGCCTATCCATTGCTGGCGTGGCGTGTCTCGAGTAGTGTCTCTCGTGGCGTGGGAAGGGAAGGGGAGAGTAGTATTCATATTGAGTAATTGTGGAGGAGGAGGAGGAGGAGGAGGAGGGGGAGGGGGAGGGGGAGGAGGAGGAAGAGGGGGAACAAGGGGTAGTTCCTGCAACCACTGATATGTCTTGAAACAAAATCAAGACGGATCGTGAACCATATTCAGATAGATTACGCCGGATTCGGCCGGGAAATCCAAGGCCGATGACTAATCCAGTAGTCGAGAACTCTCGAAACACACAAAACGCATCCGAGTTTTCCTCTTCCCAAACGTGACTCATAGAAACGAACTGGAGTACACCTGGTGTGAGCAACAACGAAACACAATGCGCAGATAACTTGGGGTACCCCTGGTCATCTCCTCTTCCGCTTTCAGAGAAGGGCGGGGGGACCACCTCACAGGGGCGGGGGAACATCGAGCTGGAATCGGCGATAATACATCCCCGGTAGATCTGCGATAGGCCCCCGATAGCGGATCCGTGCTTTCCTGGGAGGGGTGGGATATGGGGCCCCATGTCGGCGATCAGTGGGCGAGGGGGGGGGG